ATTGCTGCTAAAAACATCGGGGTGCAGGTGTCCCGGCATTTCATTGCATCTGTATCTTTGGGGTAAATCCCCAGCAGTGCAATTGCTGGGTTGTAGGGTAGCTCTATTTTTTTTAAATTTTTATTTATTTATGATAGTCACACACAGAGAGAGAGAGGCAGAGACACAGACAGAGGGAGAAGCAGGCTCCATGCACCGGGAGCCCGACGTGGGATTCGATCCGGGATCTCCACAATCGCGCCCTGGGCCAAAGTCAGGCGCCAAACCGCTGCGCCACCCAGGGATCCCGGTAGCTCTATTTTTAACTCTTTGAGGAACCTCCACATGGTTTTCCAGAGTGGCTGTGCCAGTTCACATTCCCACCAATAGTGCAAGAGGGTTCCCCTTTCTCCACATCCTCTCCAACATATGTTGTTTCCTGCCTTGTTAATTGTCACCATTCTCACTGGTATGAGGTGAGAGGCATTGGCTGGCTCAGTCACAAGAGCATGGGACTCTTGTTCTTAGGGTCATGAGTTCAAGCCTCATGTTTGGCGTGGAGCCTACTTAAAAAAAAGAAAGAAAAAAACACTTTTAGGAAGCAAGAAAACCATCTTTATAATTCCATCATCCCAACACAACCAGTTAGCATTTTAGTATTTTCTTGTTCACATTTTTGAAACATAGTTTTTATTTTATTATTTTTTTAAAGATTTTATTTATTCATGAGAGACACAGAGAGAGAAGCAGAGACATAGGCAGAGGGAGAAGCAGGCTCCCTGCAGGGAGGGCGATGCGGGACTTGATCCCAGGACCTTGAGATCACATCCTGAGCTGAAGACAGATGCTCAACCACTGAGCCACCCATGTGCCCACATAACCTAAATTTCACTATACAGTCTAAACCCTCCAACTCAGTGCTTCACGTAGAGAGGTGCAGTGTGTATTAACACCCAAGTGTGCACACACAGTATCTATCAGCAAAATGCAAGTATACCACTTCCCACTACTAAGGTATCAAAGTATCTTACATGTACCAACAAGATCAGTTATACCTTTGAATGTATCTAGTCTACGCCGTCTATTATTTAGCTTCTTTTTCCTTACCTTATTGAGGTAAATTTGACCAGTAAAAATCATATATATCTAAGGGGCATAATGTGATGGCTTGATCTGTGTTTAGCTTCCCATAGTGGGAGGACTTAATAAAGAATGAAACCATGATATTCAGTCTTAACAGAAATACTCTGCAATGCCTCTAAATCTAAACCAATGGTGTATATCCCAAATTTGGTTCTTTGAGGTATTTTTATTAAAGAGGAAGACGTTACTTTACTTTTCCGCAATTTTCAAACTTTCTTCATACTGACTTTTTTTTTTAAATAGTCACAGAGAGAGAGAGAGAGAGAGAGAGAGAGAGAGAGAGAGAGAGAGGCAGAGACACAGGCAGAGGGAGAAGCAGGCTCCCTGCAGGGAGCCCGATGTGGAACCTGATCCTGGGTTTCCAGGATCACGCCCTGGGCTGAAGGCAGGTGCTAAACCATTGAGCCACCCAGGGATCCCCTGACTTTTTTTTTTTTTTTTTTAGGGACCAAATCATTAAATCATGCCCAACCTCCTGGCTGCTTGGTTTTACAGGTTCTCATACTCCCTGCTTCTCATAATGTCTAGTTTGTAGTAATGATTCAGAATAACAAACTCTACACTAACACATACAAGACAGGTATGAAATATGGCTAACATCTGTTGTGTTTCTGTGGTGTTTGTGAAGCTGTTGGGTTCTCATATCCTTGTGATTGCTTCTCTTCTTTGGCAATGGAAGACTATAGGCCTTGCAGCAGGGCAGAGGATACACTTCTGGACCTGCCGCTTACTAGTTGTTTTGCCCTGGACAAGTATTTTTTAACCTTTCTGTGCCCATTTCTACAAGTGAGAAATTGAGTTTTCCTATATTGCAAGATTTTTAAGAGGATTCAATGAGAAAGTACACGGGAAAGCTTTCCTTTAGTCTAGTCTGTCATAGACAAGCATACAACTTTTATTTCTTCCCTTTCACTTTCCAAACTCGACACTGATGCATTTGGACCTACTCCTTGCATTAATTTGTGTTTGATCTTCTTTCATTCCCCCATGTCAGAAGGTCCCATTTGCAATCTCACTTAGAAAACTACTCCTTAGGGGTGCCGGGATGGCTCACCAGCTAAGCATCCAACTTTTGGTTTTGGCTCAGGTCATGATCTCATGATTGTGGGGCACGCTTTGCATCGGGCTCTGTGCTCAGCAAGGAGACTGCTTAAGATTCTCTCCCCCTCCGTCCCTCCCCCTGGTCAGGCTCTTTCTCTCTCTCTCAAATAAATGAATAAATCTTAAAAAAAAAAAAATGAAAAAGAACTACTCTCTATCCCGTGGTCACTAAGAGGAAAATATGCAAGGGACTAAGATTATGTGACCTCAGTGGTTTTCAGTTTTATGTTTTTGGAACCCTCTGTTCAAATGAAGTATCTCTTGGAATTGTGATGTATAAATAAGACATTTTAAGAAGGCCATTTTATTAGCATTCCTTTATTTTATAAGTTCACATAGATCATTTTATAACACTTATTAGAATAACATTCAGAACTGAATGTTCTGATGACACATATCAGAAATCCAGGGTTAGAGTTGACAGCTGCAAACTTATCAACCTCAGCATTTGATTCTGCCTCTTGTTTTGATTGCACAGAACCAGTACAATTGTGATTCAAACAGAAAATAACTTAGCATCTTAACCACTGGCTCATATTTTGATAATAAATATAGGGCAATACACACCTAAAAACCATCTATGATACATCATCACATCCAACACGCTATGGTTGCACCTGTTATCACATAAGCTGACATCTCTCAGAGCATCATACATATGTAGTGACATACCCTCTGGACAATTTTGTATGATAAATTCACAGATGTAAATTTAAATACATAAATACTAGTGCAGAACTACATCCTTCCTAGTCTGTGACACATTTGGGAAACATTAAATAGGCACAGAAATGACAAAGGAGGGCAGCCCGGGTGGTTCAGTGGTTTGGTGCCACCTTCAGCACAGGGCATGATCCCGGAGATCCGGGATAGAGTCCCAACTAGGGCTCCCTGCAGGGAGCCTGCTTCTTCCTCTGCCTATGTCTCTGCCTCTCTCTCTCTCTGTGTCTCTCATGAATAAATAAATAATCTTTAAAAAAAGAAATGACAAAGGATTTAGACAGGGAATGAATTCCTCAGCAGCAAAAGGAAGGGACTGATTAGTATCTATCATTAAGTACACTGACTGTTCTACCTTCATGCTCTGCTTGCTGCCAGCTACCCCTTCCTGGTTGCCTAAGATTCAGGACAAATGCCCTTCTAATACTGCCTGAAAAAGGGCCTCCTCCTCCTCCTCAGCTGCTTCTTCATCCTTTGTCAGTAAGCCAGGGGCTGGGCCGGCCTGTGACAGAGCAAGCTTCCTGCGAAGGGTTCCGTGGATGGCTGCAGCCAGGAACTGGTCTAGGTGGGCCTGATTCACAACATCTTTCTCAATTGCTCCTCTCTCTACCAGTTTCTGTAATAAAGGCTCCAATCTTAGCAGGTAAGCAGACAATTTATCTTCATCTCTCTGATGAGTGGTCAGATACTTGATCTGCAATTCCCTAGGATTATCAATAACCCCAAACATCTGCTCAAGAGCCTGCAGGCATTAAGCAACTGTAAGGAAAGGACTGTTTATCTTGAGGAAACGAATAACATCAAATGCTGGGCCTCTGAGGCTCTCTAGCCATGGCCTTCTTTTCTCTGCATCTGACACCTGCCATGTCTTCGTCATCTGAGTAGTATGAAGAAACAGCCGGGATTCGAATTCGTCTTCTCCTGGTTCTGGAGGCTCACTGCCTGAGAACACTCCCGGCTTTTTGTACAGGCTGAAGGGCTCCCTCTAATGCTTGTGTCAACATAGGGGTCTGTATTTCTGGGATCATGTTCTGGCCTAGGTCAAAAGGGTCGTTTCCATATCCAAGAGCTCTCTCTGGTCAACTCAACGTTGTGCCCTCTCCCTCTAAGAATTCACTTAATCTGCTTAAAAACTCATTATCCAGGTCTGGCGGCTTAAAGATCACTCTCCAGACACCCCCTCTTCCGGGTACCTCCTTAGGGACCAGAGAACGAGTAGTCTCTCCTCGGTCAGCCCGACCAAGGCTACGTTCCTGTTCTCGTCCCGCAGAGCCTCCTCGCTTTCCGCCACGGCACAGGTCGGGGTGGGGAGGGGGATGCCCTCCGAGGGCGCACATCCGTCCCCCCGCGCCAGTCCTCAGCCTCGCGTCACGGTGCCCCAAGCAGCGGATGTCGAGTCTAATCCGGCCGGGGCACAGGTGGCGCCGCACTCCACGCCGTGTCTCCGCGGCAGCCCCCAGGTGAGGCCCGGGCCGGAGGCCTGCGAGCACCAAGCAGTCGGGTCAGCGGCGGGGGCCGGTGACCCCGGCCCCGCCAGGCCCCCCCGGAGGGCGACCTCCCGGCCGTCTCACCCTCGGCCGTGCAGTCGTCCGCGCCCGCGCCCCTCGCCGGCGCAGCGGGGGGCCGGCCTCCCCGCACTCGGAGGGCGACCGGGGGGACGGCGGCCCGCGGCGAGGCGCCGGGCGAGGACTCGGAGCCGGACCGAGCAGCTCCGGGGAAGACGCCCGCGGCCCCCGCCCCCGTCCCCACCTGAGCCGGCCGAGCGCGCGCGCCGGGAGGCGACCCGGCGTCACGACGGGCGGAGCGCGCGCGCTTCCGGCCCGAGCCGGAAGTCCCGACTGTGGCAGCTTCCGGGACGGCGGGCGGGCGGGCCAAACGGGACGGGAAGGTGAGATCCGGGAGCTGCCGGTCTCTGCAGGCTCGGTGGGTGGCCGCTGCCCGGCCCCGGGCTCCCGGCGCTGCGAGGCGGAGAGGCCCGGGCCCGGCGCCGCCCGCGCGCCTCTGGTCGCGGCCGCCGGCGCTGCGGCGCGGCGGGGGGCGGGGCCGGCTGCCGGGGAGGCCCGCGGGGGGGCTGGGGAGCCTCCGGGCCCGGCCCGCTGACACGGCTGGGGCTCCGGCCGCCGCCACAGGGGCCGGGCCGCCGCGTGACTGGCGCGGTCACGCTGTGCTTAATCACAATTAGCTCGTGCTCCGGGCCGGCCGGCCGCGCTCCCGTGTCTCCCAGCCGGTGACCCCGGGGATTTCTCTTAGGGTGGCTTTCTCTGAAATGCCAAAACCACCCGATTATTCAGAACTGAGTGACTCTTTAACGCTTGCCGTGGGGACAGGAAGATTTTCGGGACCACTGTAAGTGTTTAAGAGTTGCGGTCTTACCGTGGGGGCTCCGACTTTGGTTTGACTTGCCGCATCGAGCGTTCACGTCCAGAACAGGACTGTTCAGTCAGAAACTACTGGGACTGTAGGAGCGAAGTCTTCCTGAGGAAACCAGTTTAGTTTAGTTCCAGTTCCTCACGGGAAGGTGTGCTGGACCTGGTTCAGCCGGATGTTCGGTGATTGGTCTATTCTGTGGGATTCACATAAAAAGCACTGTCCATATATATATATATGTATATGTATACATATATACTGAAACTTCACCTTTTCATAGCTATTACCTAAAACAAGCTGTGAGTTGTTTACATTTCTTAGTAAAGGTCGATTTAGTTATTTCCCGGCTTAAATGCATTAATGGGGAATAGTTGCCCTGACACCATTTACTACACCCTAACTTTTTTTTGTTTGTTTGTTTGTTTTCTTAATGTGAAGGCACAGAGCATGGAGAATGATGAACTTCCGCCAGAGGATGGGATGGATTGGAGTGGGATTGTATTTGTTAGCAAGCGCAGGAGCGTTTTACTATGTTTTTGAAATCAATGAGACTTACAACAGGCTGGCCTTGGAACACATTCAGCAGCACCCGGAGGAGCCCCTTGAAGGAACCACATGGACACACTCCTTGAAAGCTCGCTTACTCTCCCTGCCTTTTTGGTTTTGGACAGTTATTTTTCTGATACCTTACTTACAAATGTTTTTGTTCCTTTATTCTTGTACGAGAGCTGACCCCAAAACAGTGGGCTACTGTATTATCCCCATATGCTTGGCAGTTATTTGCAATCGCCACCAGGCATTTGTCAAGGCTTCTAATCAGATCAGCAGACTACAACTGATTGACACGTAAAATCAGTCACCATTTTTTCATTACAGTTAAAAAACTGCCAGTACCATATGGAGCCCGATCACAAGACTGCAGTTTCTTTGCAGACCTCAGGAAGTTGTGGTGGGACAGCGGCTTTCTAAAAAGTGTGACTAGGGGGCTGTCTTTATCTGAATAATAATGAATTTTTAAGTGAAGCCCGAGATACAGTACTACAAAATCATGTTGATGACTTCAGATTTTGGAAGTAAAATCGTGTCTGTTATTTGCATTCTTTAGAAACTTGAATAAGTACCTGAACTCCTATTTTTATTCTACTGTGCAACATAGTGATGATTCAGAAATTTTTCCTATGGGGAAAAATGAATATGAACATTTCCATTGTGCTTAATGTAAAAAGGTCCAAACATGGTCATAAAATTTAAATTTTATACAATTACTTGGCTTGCTTTAAAATTCTTCAGGCTAAAACACCACTTCAACCTGTTGTAACTAGGCCAACTATTTATGCTTGCTTACTGTCAGTTTGTGAGAAATTGGTATAAAATTATTGAGGTGATGGCTGTCTTGATAAGCAAAGTTTGTGCTTCCTACTGGCACTATCAGCATTATTAATGCTACTAGTTTGATTACTTGGGAAGAAAGTAAATGTTTTTAAGTTGAGAAATCTTACACGGAGAAGATGGAAACGAGGTATTCAGTTAAAATATTTAGTCTGGTCCTTGTCAGATGTGTGACACTCCTCTAAAATATTACCAAGTCATCATCCTTCTGATTTTCTTTTCTGGCCTAAGGTCGTCTTCCGGTCTTCAGGCAACAGGTTAATTGCATAAAGATGTGATCATTGTACTTCTTCCTTTGCTTCTGTACTTACTACCTCATGTCTGGTACCAATACAATTAACTAAAACATGGAAATACCAGATTTTAGGATTTTTTTTTTTTCTGGGTGAGATCAAGATGTATTTTTTATACAGTTAATGTCATTAACACCAAGGAAATGTTTTACACTGATGGATTTTAATAATAATCATAACCTTTTTCGGTGCTTATTCTTTCGGGTCCTGTTCTAAGAGGTTTACATGAATGAACTCCTTTAATCCTCTCAACAACCCTAAGAAACAATTATTATCCAGATTTTATAGATAAGGACACTGAGGTAGAGAAGTTAAGTAACTTGCCTGTTAAGGTCACACACCTGGTGAGCAGCAGAGCCAGAGGTATGACCAGCCATCTGATGCCTTTGTTCCTAACCACTGAGCTGTAGTGCTTCTCACAAATGACATATTTCAGGATACTGTCTGCCTAGCCATGCCAAAGAATGGAAATGGCATTACTTAAAGGTTTTTCTCAATTCATAGGAGCTATTGAAAATTGAAGTGTTTTAACAACCTCAGCATTTAAGTGTGATTTGACTAGAATGGAAGGTTGAACATTTCACAGCAAGCTTTACTCGAAAGATGGAGCAGGTACCTTTGTAACTCAAAAGCAGCAAGATCAGGTCCTTCTCCAGGTAATCAATCTCACTTTCCCTTCACTTCTTCCAGAGGGCTAGAGACTGAAATGATCTATCTTTTGCTACAATACACTGAATCTCCAAAGTAGGCAGCAGTTTGAAATACCGTTTCTGTGAGGGTCAGATAACCAAATCACTTGCATCTTTTGAGTACTTAACTAGTAGTATGCACTGTGTTCTAAGTGATTTACATTTTTCAAAACAGGCCTGTGGGGAGGTTTGTGCTGCTGCTAGTGCCATTTTACAGAAGAGGAAGCACAGGAATTAGTAGCTTGCCTGTAGTCACACAACAGGGATATGGAAGAGCCAGGATTTGAACCCATGTCTGGCTTCAGATCTCTAGCTCTATCACTCCATTATACTGCTTCTCAGGAAAAAAAAAAAAAAAAAAGGATAATTTGAGGAAAATCACTGAGCAGTTTTCTTGCTTGATTTGATTACTCTTGAGGCAGTGGTATTTTAAAAATGATTTAAGAGAATTATTTCAGTTTTTTCGTTTCATAAATGCTTGATATAATGCAAGGTTGTTGAGTTTGTCATTTGTCTTATAAAGTAGTAATTCCTTTTTATTGAAGTGGACTTTTATACTTCAAATTCTAGCATTTTGAGATTTGCTAAGTAAGTGCTTGGTCCATTTCTAGTTTTCAAGACCAGACTGCTTTGGTAGTAAAAATATTAAAATAGGGGCTTCTGGGTGGCTCAGTCAGTTAAGCATCTGCTTTGGCTCAGGTCATGATCCCAGGGTCCAGGGATGAAGCAGGCAGAGCAGGGAGCCTGCTTCTCACTCTCTACCACTTGTGTTCTCTTTCTCAAATAAATATATATATATATTTTTTATGATAGTCTCACACACACACACACACAGAGGCAGAGACACAGGGCAGAGGGAGAAGCAGGCTCCATGCACCGGGAGCCCGATGTGGGATTCGATCCGGGTCTCCAGGATCGCGCCCTGGGCCAAAGGCAGGCGCTAAACCGCTGCGCCACCCAGGGATCCCATAAATAAATTCTTTAAAAAAGAAGTAGAGTGGGAGTAATTCAGCATTTCCAAATAAAATTATTAGGTTTCAGATTGCAGGGTTAATCTAGCTCTGTTAGAATGAGGGGAGATTAAGCTGGTGGAGAGGAGACCCGTGTATTATGTCAGATTATTTATTTCAAATGCACATCATAGTACAATAAGCAGTGAGTACAGGATTAGATAAATGGCAAATACAGGAAATTCTTCAGGGATTTCAGGGAAAGGACAAGCATCCTAGTACCCATACTAGTCAATAATATCTGCTTCTAGAAATGAGAAAAATAATCACGTACCCTAGTTGCTTAATAAGTCACCTTACTTGCAACCACATCTGAAATAAAGCCTGTTGTGTTTTTCATGGAAAATGCCCAGGATTGAGTCCTGCATTAGGCTCCCTGTGGGGAGGCTGCCTCTCCCTCTGCCTATGTCTCTGTCTCTCTGTGTCTCTCATGAATAAATAAATGAAATCTTAAAAAAAAAAATGCGAGGATAGAGAATAGGCAACTAAATTGGAGAAACATCTAATTCATGGAGTCACAATGTAACTTCTAGTTTTAAAGATGCCACCGTTTTTTTAAAAATTTTTTTTGGGGAGTGGCACAGGAGAGGGAGAGACCTCAAGCTGATGCCACAATGAGCCCAACATGGGGCCTGATCTCATGACCCTGAGATCATGACCTGAGCCAAAATCAAGAGTTGGACATTTAACCGACTGGTAGCATCTAAGGGTGCCACCTTAAGGTGGCCTGGGTAGCACCCTTAGATGCTACCAGATTTAAAGTAAAAAAATAAGATTTCCTAAGTTTAGAATTTTTGATTCTATTTCAAAGCTTTTATAATTAATAAACTTTTCTTTGGGGAATCATCAGATAAAGCACTCCTATGAGAGTAATTGCACACATACAATAATCAAACTGGTATGTCTGTTCACAATGGGAAGTGTTATAGTCTTTATTATCTAGTGTTGATTTCCTTCTTGATGGACTTAATAATCTCAATCTCCAAAACACTGTTAGAAAGCTTACTACGATACCGCATGATTCACTTTTGGATCAAGCATGTGCCATCACTTTATAAATTCTCCAACATATTTGTAAAGTTCCATCAAGTTCTGGACCATGATTGGGAATCCTGCATTAGTATTTTTATTTTGGTCTAAGACAGTGCATAGGTCTTGAACTAGAGCTGTATCATAGAATCATCCAAATGAAAAACAAAGCAAAACTCCTCACATAATGCCAAGGTCCCTTCCCAATTTTATCAATCTCTGGGAGGGGAGAAGAGGCCAATTGTGTTTTTAGAGCTCTTCACATGATTGCTTTGGAATCATTGGTTGAGAATCACTGGGCCATGGATTTTTATGTACCATAAAGATTGAACTGTTTGTCATCTCAGCTGTGTTTGTCTTTGGATCAGCTTCAACAAATATTTTGCAGCAAGCTCACCCAGCTATTTGAATTGCAAATCTTTAGAGAGATGTCTGTCTGTATGTTTGTTTGTTTGTTTGTTTTTGAGGCTTAAATAGACTTTATTGTTACAAGCAGGGCCCTACAGAGTGGGACCTTATAAAGTGATATATGTGGTCCCAGGATATCACTATGGAGAAATAAAGATGTCGTGATTGTAGAAGAGGTCACTGTAATTGAAGGCCATGATCCTAGGAGGCCAGCTAAGAATTCAGCAGGTATGATCAGGACAAAGCATGGTCAAGTCACAGGGTGAAGGAGAGGACAATCCCCTTCACTCCTGCTTCCTGTAGCTCTCCAAATGTGACAAGACCCAGCCCCATGGCAGGAGAAAACAAAGCAAGAGGTGAGTCCTCTGGTGATAGTCATGGTCCTGAGCTGTTCCTAGGGCAGCGTGGGATGATCTGGAGCACCGGGAGCTCCATGCTGGGCCTGTTGGGCCCTCTAGTCTAGGAGCAGTGTCAGCGTGGACATGACCATACAGACAGCTAGCTGCCTGCCAGAGCCCAAGGTCAAGGAAAAGTGTGTTTTCTAGTTCTAGTTCCTCTCCTACAGATGATCTTTTTTTTTTTTTTTTCCTACAGATGATCTTGAACATACTTCTATCAGGCTTTTTCCTTTCACTCTACCAAAACTGCTCTCTTGTCAAGAGGTCCCTGGTCACTTGCACCCAACTAAACCCAGTGGTCAAGGCTCAGTAGCCTCATTAGCCGTTTTTGATACCCTCCTTGAGACAGTTTCCTCAGTTGGTTTCCAGACCAGTACTCCCCAGTAGGGCTTTAGGGATGATGGAAATGTTTGATATCTATCTGTACTGTCCAAATCAGTAGCCACTAGCTACATGAAATGAGCCCTTGAGATGTGGCTAGTGTGACTAAGGAACTGAATTTTAATTTTTAATTGGTTCAAATAGTCACATGCGGTTAGCAGCTACCAGATGTTACCCCACTTCTAGACACTCTCCTGGTTTGCCTTCTTCCTCACTAGCTTTTCCTGTCTCCTTTGCTGGTTCCTCTCTGTGGGCTGTGCCCAGCTTGTGAATGTTGACATCCCCCAGTTCTCATTTCTATACCTACTCCCCTTGCTCATCCTATCCAGGTTCATGGCTTTAAGTGCCCACATTTATGTTACTACCTTGAGTCTCTCCTGAGCTCCAGACTTGGATATTCAACCACCTATTTGATATTTACTAAGATGTCTTGCCAGGAATCTGAGCTTTAACCTGTCCAAAACCAAGCTCCTCATCTCTCTACCCACCAAAATCTGATCAAGGCCCCTTTAAGCTCTATCAGACAAGTGGCAAGGGATTCTTTTAAAATGTTACTCCTCTCAAAAACCCTCCTATTTGCTTCCCTTCTGAGAATAAAAGGCAAAGTTAACATGGCTTACAAAGTCCTGAATAAGTGGCCCTCGACAATTTTCGTTTTCTACCACTTTCCATCCCTCACTCCACTCTAGCCATACTGATCTTCCTGCTGATTCTAGAACACTCCAGAAAAACCTGTTTCAGGACTTCTACACTGCACGGACCTTCTGTTTGAGTGCTCAGCCCTGGCCTGCTTGATCACATCTTCAGACCTTTGTTCAGTTGTCAAGTTTCACGAGGCTGCCTCTGACCAGCTATTTTAAATTATCCACCTTCCCTGTTTTTCTCCACAGCACTTACCGTCATGTGACACTTTACACATTTTGTCAGAATCTAAACTCCAGGATGCCTGGGTGGCTCAGCGGTTGAGTGTCTGCCTTCGACTCAGGGTGTGACCTCGGGGTCCCAGGATCGAGTCCCACACTGGGCTCCCCGCAGGGTGCCTGCTTTTCCCTCTACCTGTGTCTCTCATGAATAAATAAATAAAATCTTAAAAAAAAAAAAAGAATCTAAACTCCACGAGTGCAGCGATTTTGTCTATTCACTGTTGTACACCCCATGCCTAGGACAGTGCCTGGCACATAGGTGCTCATAATTAATTCTTCCATGAGTGATTCTTATTGCCACTGGATACTTGCTCTCCAGAGAGAATAAAGGTTAAAGATAACATTTTCTAAGTGCATAGTCTAATCTTTCACATGTTCAAGTTTAGTGGTTAAGCTTTCTCAGGTTTCAGTATGTAGTGATATATTCTGAGGCCAAGATTTAAAATGAGTCCATTTATTTTTGCCAATGGTTGTGATGTTGGTTGTCCTGGGATTTTCCTCATTCATGCAGAAAAATACATAAACCACATTCACAAACAAGTGGTGGTTACAGCCTTGAGCAATTCTCAAGTTACGATCTTTAAGATAAGTTTTCTAAACCCCTAACATATGCATCAAGTGTCATGCCAACCTCTTAGAGCTACAGCACACAACTGCAGTACTCTGGTGTTTAAGGCAATACCTTGGGCCTGTAAATCACTCATTTAAAGTGGTAACATGTTTTACAAGTTAGGGACACCTGAGTGGCTTCAGCAGTTGAGCATCTGCCTTTGGTTCGGGTCGTGAACCCGTGGTCGTGGGATCAAGTCCGCATTGGGCTCCCTGCATGGAGCCTGCTTCTCCTTCTGACTCCCTCTTTGTGTCTCTCATGAATAAATAAAATTTTAAAAAGAAGACAAGTCTTTCCAGCATAATTTTGAGTATTGGAGTAAATTTGTTTTTCTTTTTGCATTGGAGTAAATTTCTATTTAAAACTACCCCGGGGGATCCCTGGATGGCTCACTGGTTTAGCGCCTGCCTTTGGCCCAGGGCGCGATCCTGGAGTCCCGGGATCGAGTTCCGCATCGAACTTCTGGCATGGAGCCTGCTTATTCCTCTGCCTGTGTCTCTGCCTCTCTCTCTCTATGTCTATCATCAATCAATCCTTTAAAAAACCCACAAACATTAAAAAAATAAAATAAAAATAAAACTGTACCTCAATGGCCTTGCTGCTGGCCCAATGTGAGCTGCTACTTTCTAAAACAAATTTAAATAGGGAACCCCGGGTGGCGCAGCGGTTTAGCGCCTGCCTTTGGCCCAGGGCGCGATCCTGGAGACCCAGGATCGAATCCCACGTCGGGCTCCCGGTGCATGGAGCCTGCTTCTCCCTCTGCCTATGTCTCTGTGCCTCTCTCTCTGTGTGACTATCATAAATAAATAAAAAAAATTTAAATAGAGGCTTACATTCTAGCATTCACTGTTTTCTGGGCCATGTCTTTAAATAGGGCAATTCTGATCCTAAAGGTCACCTGAGAACTGGAATAGTTAGGGCAACACTGTTAAATTCATTTTATATTTTGAGAATAATGCACTGGGTAGAGGGCATTTTTTTCAAGGTGAAAGCTAGGCACATCAGTTTTAGAAACCCCTCCTCCCTTTTTTTAAACGTTAGCTCAGTTTCTTAATCTCCTTAGAGGTCATGTTCTCCCTTTTTGACAGAGTAGTAGTCATATGGGAAATGTGGATTTCTTTTAAAAGATTATTTGAGAGAGAGAGTATGCACACGCATAAGCCGGGGAGTGGGGGAGGGCAGAGGGAGAGGGAGAGAATTTCAAGCAGACTCTGCACTAAGCATGGAGCCCATGACCCTGAGATCATGGCCTGACCCAAAATCCAGGAGTCGGCCACTTAACCAAAGAGCCTCCCAGGCACCCCAGCTGTTTTTTGTGTTTTGGGTTTTTTTTTGGAGAGGGAGAGGAAAAGAGAGAATCCTAAGCAGGCTCCATGCCCAGCAAAGAGCCCAACCTGGGGCTCAATCTCATGACCTGAGCCAAAATCCAGTCAGATGCTTAATTGATTGAGCCATCCAGGCACTCCTGTTTTGATTTTTTAAGTCTAGATTAGCTAATTTTTGCCCTGAATTACTCACATGACAAATGTTTTAAACTATTCATTTGGCTGGTCTGCCCTTATTAAATGTAAAGCATGACTTTTTAAAATAAAAAATTGGGTCACTGGCCTGGCTCAGTCAGTAGAGCATGTGACTCTTGATCTCTGGGTCATGAGTTTGAGCCTCATGTTGAGTATACAGCTTAAAAAAAATGTTTAGATAGTTTCAGTAACTTTGCAGGAACAGTAACTTTTTCTGTATTTGTATAGAAAAATACAAAATATGCTTACTTTTTAAAAAGATTTTATTTATCCATGAGAGACACACAGAGAGAGGAAGAGACATAGGAAGAGGCAGAGGAAGAAGCAGGCTCCCTATGGGAAGCTGGATGCAGGATTTGATGCCACGACCCCGGGATCATGACCTGAGCCAAAGGCAGATGCCCAACCATTGAGTCACCCAGGTGCTTCCAAAATATGTTAAATGCAAAGAGAACAAGAGTGTTCTTGTTCTCTCTTTAAGAATATCCCCCCTCTTATTCTCAACCCAACTCTCTCTGCTCAGCAGCAGTCTGGCCATCCTTTTAGATACCACATATGTATCTATTCTCCAATAGTAGCATTCAACACACTAGTCTGTATCTTGCTAGTTTTCATTTAACATTATATTTTAGAGATTGGTCTCTAACACACAGAGCTATACTTTGGTCTTTTATAATGGCTGCACAAAATTATTGTATTAATCTTCTATTTTTATTTAATTAACTAGAGTCTTCTGTGAACGGACACTTAGGTTCTTTACAGTAGTAATACCTAGAATAAATGCTACAATGAATAGTGCTATATAGATCTGTGCACATATGTTCTGTTATCACTGGATAAATTTCTGTAAGTGAAATTGCTCAAAGAACAGTACATCTAACACTTTGACAGAAGTGTCAACTTGACTTTGAAAGAGCTTATACCAGATCACTCTCACCATCAGTACTACATAACCCTCAAGTCCTTTCCAGCTCAATATTGCATCAAAACTTTGGATCTTTCAGTCTGAAAAGTAAAAAGTGGTATTCATTTTATTGAAGTAGCATCTTTTTTCATTTAAAATCCATGTGTATTTTTCTTGTGATCTCCCTATCCC